TTGATCGAAAGGAAGAGCAATTAGATAAAGTACAAAATATATTTAACAAGGTGTACCTAGCTATTCAGATGTACAGACAGGCACGGGATTCCAGCGCACCAGAAGAAACCAATGTTTGGAAAAGGGGTAAAAAAAAATTAAGAAAGTAAAACTGATAAGAAGGAAATATCTGTTTGAGGCAATAAGAGAAAAGAACAAAACGGTGTAGGATTTATTAGAAGAATAGCATTTTCATGATTTCAATTGGTTCAATTTGCTTGGTTTGCCATGGCATTCGATCCTTAATAGGTTAATAGTTACCATTTTAGATGTAAGAAATACATGTTGCAATGGGAAGCATCCGAACCAAGTTAATAATAAAAATAAAAACAATAATAATAATAATAAATGTATTTAGCACTTGGCTATTTACATAAGCAATTTTAAATAAACAAACTATGAACTTCGCAAATGGCCCGTAAGCCTCTCCTTGAATACTCTTAGGCAAGACGCGTTTTAAATATTATCCGGCAGTTCATTAGAATTACGAACACCATCTTAGAATAGAGGTTTCTGTAAATTTGTAGTTTTTACTATAGAAACATTGAAGTGCTGATTGGAAAGTGTATTATACTAATAAAAATTTGACCTTTTTTCCAGTGATAATTGGTTGGTGATCGTGCCCAATTCCATAAACCAAAATTATACTTGCTCTTTTAATGAACTGTCCGACATTTAGCCAATTTAGCTGATCTAACATATTCTTTATATGAGTATATCTATCACATTTCACCCTATTTTGTTGTAACTGTAACTTATTTAAATCTTCTTTTGTACAAGATATAAGCAACGAACAGACATACGAAAAATGTGGAAAAATTATACTATTATTCACTAATATCTTATTCCATTATAATAAAACTATGCTACACAGTTGCAAAACCCTATTTTCTTACCAATTTTTTTGCACACATATTCAACATGATTACTAAAACATTATTGTGGATCTAAGATCATTCCTACATATTAATTAATATTATTAATTTTTTTAATCAATTTTGAAATGTTTGATCTAATACCATCTAAGCGGAATTTGTTATTTTCATTACAATGTCTAACAACAAGAAAATTGATAATTTAAGACAATGACATTTTCTTCCAACTTCCAAATTTTATTTCTACACATGGAAATTCTTCATAGATTTTATTATTTGTACTGATAGCAGTAATTTTCAAAAACCAGTTCAATTCAATTCACAATTCACAAACCATAATAGTATATCCAACAAGTGCGGCAAACGTCATTTGGCTCACGAGTTTATTTGACACGGAGCGATTGTATAATAAACAAGGGACTAATAGTATATTATGCAACAAGTGCGGCAAACGGCATTTGACTCACGAGTTTGTTTGACACGGAGCAATTGTATAATAAACGAGTGACTAATAGTATATTATGCAATAAGTGCGGCAAACGGCATTTGACTCACGAGTTTATTTGACACTAGCGGAGCGAGTGTTTAATAAACGAGTGACTTAAAAAATTTACCGAATGTGTTGTATCCTATACTTTTTCTACGACCGTTAGTTTTTCAGTATTTTCGCAAAACAACAAGAATACATTCACTGACATGACCGTCAGATTTGACAAACGTCACAATCCGAGCGGTAAAATCCCGGAAATATCCGAAGTGACTCTGATCCGTGAAAAACGAAATTGACGTGGTAAAGAGACGCTTCCCGCACGCTTGATCAGTGTGTAATTAGGCATTTTACAGACGGGAGTAAAAAATAGTATATTATGCAACAAGTGCGGCAAACGGCAAACAGCGATGCGAATTTTTAATAAACGAGTGAGTTAAAAAGTTATTGCATACTATACCATTAGTTTTTGGGTCCATTTTCGCAGAACAACACGAATACGGTCACTGACATGACCGTCAGAATTGACAAACGTCAAATCCCTACGGTAAAATCTCGGAAATGTCCGAAGCGGCTACGATTAATGGGAAACGAAACTGACGTGGTTAAAGTGACGCTTCCCGCACGCTTGATCGGTGGGTAATTAGGTATTTTACAGACGGTAGTAGAAAAAAAAGTTTACCGAACATGTTCCCTCTGTACTTTTTGGGAACATTTTCTGATATGACCGTCAGAATTGACAAAAGTCAAAATTGAAGGCGTGGAAAATATCTCCGAAAATATGCTATTGCTTCCAAACCCGTGCGGTAAAGTACCGGAAATGTCGGAAGGGGCCGTGGGATCTGTGGGAAACGAAACTGACGTGGTAAAGTGTCCCTTCCCGCACGCTAGATCGGTGTGTAATTAGGTATTTTGGAATTATTTGTGTCTATATTAACTACAGAAACCAGTTTTCACAAATGACAGCTACCTTGGACCTATCTTTGAGCCATAATCAAAATCATAGTTTGGATGTGGAAGTGTTTCGTCACTACTGATGTGTGTGTGAGGACTGCTCTTTGTAATGAAAATCGCGCATGCAGTCGAGATTATTCCTTTCCATATGAACATGCCAAAGCCGCCCCAGTATTTATGTGCTCTGTAGTATCTACTAGTCATCTCTTTAACATCATTCCTTCTATTTTTCTCCAGCTGCAAACATAACCTCACTAGGGCGCGGTCAATTTTTCGCAATGAATCATCGCATCGAAATCGACGCTGTAAGCTTTAGTTTATGTCCTAATATGTTTATCGAAGTCGAGGCAATCCCGTACGTAGTTTGTCGCAGTAATGATGTTTTTAATATACGCGCGGAGTTTCCCATTTAAAAGTTAAACATCGCAACTTAGCATCGCATCCGCGATCCGAACGCAAAGGGAGCAAATAAAAAGGTTCGTTTAAATGCGAGCATATTTCGACAAAGTCGGCTGCGACGTATCTCGAAATATCTCGCATAGCTATTTGAATTAAATTATAACGATCTTTGATCGTGTTAAAATTTTCTGGCACAGGGATTTCAATTTTAATGTCAGCTCCTTTTACGTCAAATATGACGAACTTTTGCTGGCAGCCGGAGTTTATAAGTTGGGCATATAGAGTTTCTTAGCGAATTATTTCGGCCTAGATGCAGACGTCTGAAGTAATAGATTAAGAAACGGCAAAACAGTCACGTAAGGAAGTCGACGTAGATTAGAAATGTATATGACGAAACTCTGTGTCTGATGGGACTGAGTATTATTTTCGTAGAACATTTGAAATTACGTTAGCGTTGGTGTTTCCTTACCCAAAAATTATTTACTCCGTTACTATATTTAAATAAAATATAATAATAATATCAAATAAAATTCAGTCTCGCTTGGGAAATATGGTTTACCTTACAAGTTGTTCTCTTAGCATAAAGGTCATAACTGGTGACAAATCATGGGTATGAGGTTATGACGTGGAAACCAAAGCCCAATCGTCCCAATGGAAGAACCCAGAATCGCCAAGGCCGAAAAAAGCACATCAAGTTCAATCAAATGTCAAGGTTTTGCTTACTGTTTTCTTTGACTATCATGGCGTAGTACATCAAGAGTTTTTACCACAAGACCGTACAGTTGAAGTTATGCGCCATTTGCGGAATTGTGGGAAAAAAATTCATGAATTTTTCCGTCCGTCATAATGCACGTTTTGCATCGTTGCTTGTGTCTAACTCTTTCGCCAAAAAGAAAACCACCATCATTCCTCAGCCACCATATTCACCGGATATGGTCCCATGCGATTTTATTATGTTCGAGAAACCCATGGAAGGAAGGAGGTTTGGAACGATTGACGAGATAAAGAAAAAATCGCTGGAAAAATTCAAGGCTATATCAGAAAGTGCTTACCATAAGTGCTTCGAAGATTGAATTGGCACAAGTGTATTATATTTGCGGAGATTATTTCGAATAAATAAATAAAACTTATTTGATTTGGTTTGATTTTTGGAATAGAAAAAAATAATTTATAAACCGGCATTTTACGCCACAATTTACTAATATAATAATTTATAAAATGACAATTTATAAAAATGGTCGCATTTTACGCCACAATTTATTTATATTACACACACAATTAAATAATTTTACAACAAAAATTCAACAACTTAAAAACGCTGAAAACGTATCCAAAGAAATACTCTCCATTTTGTCTGAAACTTTGAAACCTTATTAATAACAACCACGTATTTGCTTCTGTAGATAATTAATTGGCAACAAACTAACTAGAATAAAAAGTAACATAAATGATGGATAATCGAAAATAATTAAGTAGGTTGTGTGAGCTGGTCTATCAAGCGGAGACAAGTGTTTCGTTTTAAAAAAATGTACAACCGCCATATACATCACTTTTAAATTTACGTAACATTTTAGTGGTGAAGAAAAGCGCAGCTCTGTTTTATTGAAAGAACTTCGCTTCTCAACGACTGGTCGGATAACAGAACACGATGTTGGAAGTTTCAAAATAGTCGCAATTAAACGACAAACGACCCGATCATTGACTCAGAGACTCTTCTAATTAAGATTGCAAAGGGGCGGGGGTCGTTCATTCGTCTAGAACTATAAAAGCAAACTTCATTTTTATTAACAATAAGATAACGGTGCGATTCAAAGAACCAGGGCTATCAGTATCGAATGATTCAAGTTCGATAAATAAGTAGATTGGGATAGAGATCCATGAGCCGAGAGAGAAATAAAGAAGAATTGCCGTCGTAAATCAGGATACCCTTGCCCCGTTTTGTTTGTTGTTTGTGCAGCGCTTCAGTCTCCCGTGACATCTATACAACTTCTTCTAATAATGTTCTTCCTGTTATCATGCCTACTATGATCGCTAACTGTTCCGATAATATATGACCGTCTAAGGACGAAACGTACACATAAAAGCCCTGTTTGTATGATTAAATTTTTCGCGATTCGTTTATTGGCCAATGTTGCGTGTCTGATGACGGCCTATGATAGTTGTATACGGTTTGGCTAACCAATTATTGTTGATTACTTGTTCTAATGAGTTTTTGTTGTTTATGTACACAAACGTGAAACATTCATTGCGAATTCATTATTCTGCGTTCATATGTCCAATCTTTTTTCGACCAGTGTCTGAAATGGAAAAAATGTATTTCTAACCAAAACTACTGCTCCTTTTAGATATATTTTCCAGGAAGTTACTTGCCGGGTAAGATTTTTTTGTTCAAATAAATTACTGATCTTAGCAATATTTATTTTTGCGATGAGTTGAAAGTATAAAATTTATTTATATTTTTTGTGTTATTATGTAATATGTTATACAAAAAAACTTAATCAATTTACTTCTGTTTCAATAATGGCATATTCATTCCTTTTTTCAAGCTTTTGAAGCTGTTGAAGTACGTCAGGCTGATAATTAAATATTTTTCATTTGTTTTTTTTTGTAGTAGTTTTTGCCCGCACTTATGGAAGTTACCTGCCGACGGCAATGAAACTCGGCTCCGGTAGATGTTAACGGACAGAACATTATGGATATACTCTCAAAAGTTTTGGTAATATATTTTTTTTGTTTATTTATATTCTTATTAAATTACACTAAAAAAAACAATGATATTAAATATATACAATAAATTCGTTGTTATGGATATCTATACATAATTTCATTTTCATTCTAAATGTCTAAATCTAATTCTGTTTCACTATCAGTGTCGTTATTGAGATTAATTATGATTGAATTTACGTTGTTTTGTATAGAAATGTAAGAGTGTACAATTTTAATAATGAGCTGTGGCGAAGTTTTCCAGCCCTCAATTGGTATATTATTAATCGCATTTGTTATCAAATTTGTGACACTGGGGCTTAAAGTCGGAGTAACATTTTCTGCTCTGATCTTTGATTTTACTTGGTTTCCCAAATGCTCTAAGGGGTTAAACATGCAATGATTTAGAGGAAGATGTAAAACAGCATAGATAGATAGATAGATTCATTTATTGACTACGTTTCGTGCAAAAGGGACGTACAATTGTAGCAAGTCAGAAGTGCTATTCAAGTGCAATAAAAATCTCCACAGCAGCTGAGGAATCACCCCACAGTACCGTGCCATAGCATAAGTGTGAATGCAACAAAGAAAAATAGACCATAAGCAGAGTCCTTGTTCCTATCAGGCCTCTCAGTCGTCGAAGAACGAATATGTTGCTGGACAATCTATTTTTCAGGTCTGAGATATGTTGTTTCCAATTTAGACCATCATCGATCCTAATGCCAAGCAACTTGACGGACTGTCCACTATTTACCAAGCAATTGGAGGAAAATACAATACTCTGGGTCTTGTCTAAATTTAATTTAAGATAATTATTTTCGAACCAGACATTAGCCCTGTCCTCCAACATGCCAACCCTAACGGACAACTCCTCGATACTCTTAGCAGATGTAGTGAAGGATGTATCGTCGGCAAACATCACGCACTGATTGGGGGCCAAGAAATGATAAAGGTCATTTATGTAGATTGTAAATAGTAGCGGGCCCAGGACGGAACCCTGGGGCACCCCGCTTACTACTGATTCAAGTGATGTACGGTCATCCTGGTATTCTACAAACTGCTGTCGGCCCTGCAAGTAGGACGCTATAAGATCTAAGGGCAGACCTCGTATACCATATCTGTATAGCTTTTTAATAAGAAGCTGGCGAGAAACACAGTCGAAGGCCCTGGAGAGATCACTCAAGGTCAAAGCAACTAATTCACCCCCCTCGAGGCCCTCAACTATCCCACTCACAACTTTAGACACTGCTTGGATCGTCGAACACCCTCCCCTAAATCCAAACTGACCAGCACAAAGACATTCGATCTTATTAATGTAAGAAGTTAGCTGATCTTTTAGTAGGATCTCAAAAACTTTTCCGAAAAAAGGCACGATTGAAATCGGCCTGTAGTTGTTAGCATCATTTATATCACCTGCCTTATGGATTGGAACTACTCTCAAAATCTTAAACAGCGACGGAAATACACCTGTGTCAATAGATTTATTAAATAAAGTGGTTAGTGGCAGTGTAATGTACTCAACCAGTCCCTTCACCAAGACACTATTGATATCATAAGCATCGCTAGAATAAGATTTTTTTAATCTTAGTATGGCTCGGTACGTATCCTCACAAGTTATCGGATGCAAAAAAAAGTAGTTTCCTCCAGTGGAATCCCTTCAACACATGCACTCTGTATATTGTGATTCACCGTTAAGATCTTTATAATATTACTCGAGACAGAACTAAAGCTGTTCAGCCAAATTATCGCATACATACTGTTTTTTAATTGTATAGGAATTTAGGACTTCCAAAAATTGCCCTGTGTAACTGAAATCAAAATAAATATCATTTTCTAACAAATATTCCTGGCTTTTATAGACTTAATGGGGCTATTGCTTTGCGTAGCAGACGGTTGTGGTAGCTTTCGTTATCGATGACAATCACACTGTTATTGGGAATAAGTTTTGAAACCAATTTTCAAAAAGTTCGGCACTTGTATCCTCATGATAATCCAAGCTAGAATCCTCAATATTTTTTGCAGACAACAGCAAGTAATTTGAGTCTGAGTGAAATCAAGCCTGCTTTTAGATACAGTGCCGTGTGTATCGAAACAGTTTCATCAAGGTAAATTATGGATCCGTTGACTAATCTATATGTTTTAATTTCTTGAAAGTCTCTAAGTCCGTAATCTGTATGATTCCATTACTTCTTGCCTTTTATCTATTTTGCGGTACTGGGATCCCATTTTACAAACAACTCGTATATTTATATTGGTTTCATTTTCTTCTATCTTCCGTTTCACTTTATCCAACTTCGCTTTGATGAAGACTATGTATTTTCCTTCATAGTAGGTCCTCATTAAGGTGAGTTTGAAACTCACTACGTTTATTCTTTTTCTTCAATCCTCCACAATTAATAATATCGACGATATTGGCGTTTTCATAAGTAGACAGGTTTCTTTTAAAGCTTTGTGAATACGTCCTTTATTGATTAAAGTTTCATACACATTTTTCACAACCTGTTTTCAAGCGACAAATTATTCCGACGCTACATTGTTATATTCTCGTGAAATAACTTTTTCGAAGCGCACAGTAAAACTGATTATTCAACAGTTCCACAAATGGTCAGCACTCAAGAAATATATCAGAAAGAAAGAAATATATCTGGCCCACCCCTATCCCCCAAAAAAAAAAAGTTTTATTGGGAAAGGTCCGTCTAAAGCCAACACGATGAAGATAGAGACCCACCATATCTCTTTCGTTATTTCGTATTTTGTTTAGGAAACATTGACATCTATTTATTTGATATTTTTTTGGGGAAAGTGGGTGTTTTAAAACTCAAAAATATTTTTAATTCAGTTTCCATTCAAATTCACGGAGTTCATTAGGTTTAAGACATTACTTTTGTATGCAATTATTACAGTGTATGTATAAACAAACTTTTAGTATTGGCTGACACGTTAGTTTTCGGCATTCATGAATTTTTGCATCACGATAATGCACCTAACTCATCGTTGCTTGTGTTTAACTTTTTCGCCAACAACAAAACCAAAATAATACCTCAGCCACTATATTCACCGGATATGGTCCCATGCGACTTTATCAGAAACTCATAAAATGATGGAGGTTTGGAACGATTGACGAACTAAAGAAAAAATCGCTGGAAAAATTCAAGGCTATCCAGAAAGTGCTTACCAGAAATGTTTCGAGGATTGGATTGGCACAAGAGCATTATATCTAGGGACATTATTTCGAAGGGAACAGCATTAATTTTGATCAATAAATACTTTTTAAATAAAACTGATTTGATTTGATTTGATTTTTGGATAATAAAACATTGACATCTATTTATTTGATATTTTTTTGGGGAAAGTGGGTACTTTAAAACTGAAAAATATTTTTAATTCAGTTTCTGTATAAACAAACTTTTAGTATTGGCTGACACGTTAGATTTAGGCATTTGCGTTTTCTCCATGCCTTATATTCATATCCTGCCTACTCGTATTATATTATACAATTTATCTAACATTTAAATGTAACCAACAAATAATTATCTTAACAAGACCAAGTTGTTTGAAATCGATTCAGTCACATAGAAGTTTGATCTGCTGATTTATAAAACATTGAAGCACTTTAAAAAAATCAAAATGGCGGTTACACTCCCTGGTGAGCATTTTGAGAATCTGAGAATATTTTCCGTGGTCTTCTATTAGCCACTTAATAGCCAATAATAAAATCTTTTAACTCAAGTCTCAATGACGAATAGTTTCCGAGATACAGTATTTGCTTCTTTATCGGCCCACCGTGTACATAATTTCTGTGGAATTAGAGATTTTTTAAGTAAAGCACCACGTATCGCGGAAAAAAAGTTGTTGCTAACATCACTCTAAGGGCAAAAACTCCGAGGAAAACAACGATTGTCCTACAACATAATTTTTCCAGATTATCTAGAAACTTTAAATCCTCCATATTTCTTATTTGAAAACAAATTGCAAGTTTTCTGCTGCCAAGCGGCGAGAGCAGGAATTAATAGATTTACTGGACGATAAATCTTGAAATACCGCCATAAACGACGCAATTTACCACACAACGCTATTCTTTTGTTGACAAATGGAAATATTTCAAAGGATGCTTCCAGTCAATTACCCGGGCAGCGCGCGTACAGCAATCTGGAGAGGATCGTAACATTTCAGGCTAAGAATTTTAACAGCAATATGCCAAGACATTCCTAGGACGTCACTACGGGAGACTTGCCAGATTCACGATGACCGCAACGGATCCGACGGTTTCACTGGAATATTTCAGTCTCAGTTTTATACTCCCCTATGGCTCCAAAACTTTATTAAATTCAATTTAATATTTTTGCCGACTACTAGATTGTTGACTTCTCGAAAGCCACTGACTTCGGATTATGACGAAATTGTGAGCTACAAATTTTTAAAGTGAATCCCAGCACTACCTTCTTTAAATTAATGTAGACTAATCATATTGACTATAGGACCTACCCCATCTAGGATCAGCAGAACGTCGGGAGTGTAAGAGTTGATTTGGCTAAATAGAAGCAGCGTTAGCGAACGTCCAACAAAAATGGCGCGCAGAAATCTCTGACAACTAGTTTCTTTGAAAATATTTTCTATATTTGATATTATTTTCTACTGGACACAAAGTAAAACCCACAACAGTATTCTACCGTCAACTAGTAACGCCGACATATGTTTCGACCTTGAAACTCCAAGCAAAGAAAATTGCTGTTACGGACCTGTGCATTATTTATTATTTTTCAAGAACAAATAAATAACAATATTTCCATGGTACTGTCGTGTTTGTTTATTCTTTACCAGTTCACTTCAACTTGTTCTATATATTTTATATTTTTTTAAAGTAACAGAGGAATACAAGTTCTTAAAAATTAATAGTTTATCTAGTAACTAGTAAATGGCATATTTTAACTTTTAAAATTAGGAAACAATTATGTCAGTCACGCACATTTCAATTACTGTGTTGTGATTTGTGTTTTTTTATAGATGAAGAACTTTACATTTCTACACATTCGTAATGAAAATTTTACACAATCTCGACTTTGCTAACAGAAGGTACAGAAAGAAACTAACGAAACCACATCACCAGAGTGCCTTATTTCAGATATCCTTTATATTCGACGCAATTCGTTTCTACAATTCTGTCACAGGAACTAACCAATTTAAATTTAAATTCACCTAAAAAATGTACTAAGATCATCTGCTAGAAATACAATTTTGCTGCCTGAAGTGGTGTTCGTTTTTTTTCTCTTCCCATTTTACACGCATTTTCCATAGTTTCAGAAATAAATTAATATAAATTTGTATGCATATGTGAATAAATAGTTCTCAATTTGTTGACTACATTAAGAGTTCTATATAGTGGTTCAGCAGAGTAGCTATTGAAAGCCAGATTGCGCTCCTATTGTTCTGGTGTTTCGCTTGTTGTAAAATGTTATTTTTTTTTAGTGAAGGCTATTATTATTATTATCATTATTATTATTATAATTATCTACAGGACCACGCTAGAAATTTTCTTGGTTTGGAATAAAAGGAGCTTTCGGGGGGATCTCAATTTAAAATACAATGACAGTATTTACAAAAAAAAAGGATTAATGCCGGATAAGCAAAATCGAAACAAATTTGCATACTTATTTCCCATTTCACGTAATCTGTATATCCTACTGCTTCCAAGATTGCCACGTAGTGGTCTTTTTCATTTCTATAAGACTCGAAGACATCGTCCTTCCAGTTCGTTATTCACCAACCAGACTCTTCTCTATACTTCTGCCATTCCATTCGAAATAAGTTTAAAAGAAAAGGAAACAAAAAACTGAAAACATGAAATGACTAGGGGAAGCTATAGAGTAAGATGGAAGGATGGAATTATTTATATTTTAATTAATGCTTATTAAGTAGAATAGAAAATAGAAAACTATAGAAGACCCGAAGGCATGAATGGTACTTCTTTTTTCTTTCTGCATAACCTTTAGAAAATGTAGAACGTATTTTTGTATCGCAAACCTTCTGCTCCCGTTTGAATAAGAAACGCGACTAGGGTGGATCGAATATCTCGACGGTGTAGCGACCGACGAAGAAAATATTCGACAATACATTTAGAGAAATTTGATCATTTCAGAAGTAGCTGTGGTACTTAGTCTTCTGCGGCGGCGGCGGCGGTGGCGGCCCGAACCTCGCTCGCGGCTGTACATCGCTGTTCGGATACCGAGGCCGGTTATCATCCGCTTACCCCCAGGGCTAATGTGGTATCATAGGCTGTAATTAGCCGACTCAGACTACAAGATAATGTACTCCGCCAGCGTAAATCTTTCACTCCGTCTCTCTTTTGCCGTGATGTCGTTGCCGGAGTCGAAGTGGAGGAGATCGAGATGGAAATCGCAGCTCCGCGTGGAGGTCCCCCCTCCGGCGGCAACGAGAATTCCACTTTCCGACGATTAGGCCCACTATGTTCGATTCCCGTTCAGATCGTTATGTTTAGGAAAAATTTTGTACCTTTTCTTCAGAAAAATCGAAGCAGAAAGAAAAAAATTTAAGATATTCGAGAAGCTATTGTAATATCGTTAAAATCTTAGTTGAAACAAAAACGAGTGATATATCATTGTTGTGATGATTTTTCTTATTATTATTATAACGATTTAGTTAAAATCATCACCACCAAAATTGAAAAAGTTATTCTAATCTCAAATCTAATAGGTCGCAATATCTTCACATTTTGGGAAACAAAAATGAACAGAAGTTGATGACATGAATCAATAAGGGTGCGGTGAACGGCATTTGTCTCACGAGTTTATTTGACATGAGCGGAGCGCAACGGAGCGAGTGTTTAATATACGAGTGACATAAAAAGTTTACCGAACGTATTGCATAGTATACTTTTTCTACGACCGTTAGTTTTTGGGTACATTTTCGCAACACAACACGAATACATTCACACAAGTTCACAATTCAAGGCGTGGGAAATATCTCCGAAAACATCCGATTGCGCCCAAACCCGTGCGGTAAAATCTCGGAAATGTCGGAAGTGGCTCGGATTTCTGGAAAACGTGATAAAGTGACGCTTCCCGCACCCTAGATCGGTGTGTAATTAGTTATTTTACAGACGGGAGTAGAAAAAATTTTTTTAGATACCCGTTGATCGTTATATTTAGGAAATAATTTGTACCTTTTCTTCAGAAAAATCGAAGCAGAAAGAAAAAAAAAAGATGTTGGGGGGGCTATTATAATATCGCTCAAGAGAACTCTTAGTTGGAAAAAAACAAGCGATTTATGGTTGTGATGGTTATTTGCTCTGTAATTTCCAGAAGATATGTATTTTTTTATTATTACGATTTTGTTCAAACTAAATATATCTTGATCACCACCAAAATTGAAAAATCATTAAAATATTAGCACTCAATTATTGCAATTTTGAATCTGATAGGTCGGAATATCTTCGCATAGTCATAAAATAAAATACGCCAGAAGTTGATGACACGATCAATAGGGTTAAGAAAAGAATTCTTTTTGCTAGCTTCTCTAAACTGCCAAACAATACACCGATCGAGCGTGCGTAACTTATCATTTTACTACGTCAGGGGCGTTACCTACGGTTGCGAACCACTGCGGACATTTCCGGGATAAAACCTGGTGACGATCCGATCGATGTTTTCGGAGATATTAACTCCGGCTGACGGTCAAGTTACTCGTGACTCAGTGAATGTATCCGTTCTATATTGAAAAATATACCAATGGTTTTAGAAAATAGTATATTATGCATTATTAAAGAACGTGTTGCATACTACTACTACTATACTTTTCCTACTAGTTTTTGAGCATATTTTCTCAAAACAACACGAACACGATGAACTTCAGAATTGAAAACATTCGATTGCTGCTAAACCCACGGATCCGTGGAAAACGAAACTGAAATGGTAAAGTGACGCTTCACGCACGCTAGATCGGTGTGTAATTAGGTATTTTACAGACGCGAGTAGAAAAAGTATATTATGCAATGTTTGATAAACTTTTTAAGTCACCCGTTTATTTAGCAATCGCTCGACTGCGCTCCGCCCCCACCAAATCAAAACTCGACTCAAATGCTGTTTATCATACTTGTTATATGCTATCAGCCGATTAAATAATCGGGAAAAGTAATATGGCTAGTGTGGGAGATGATATCTTAATGTTGCAACTAATAGAGCTTTGAACTTCCTCTCAATTTGACTTAATTATATGTTACTTAGAGGCAGATACATACTAGTTTAAGTTGTACCGTCAATAATGAAATTATCCACTAAGAGCGAAGAAATAAGTGAATAAAAATAATGGATCAAACGAACGATTAAAGATAATCTTAGTTATCAGTCCAAACATTCTGCGGCCACAAAACTTGGAATAACAGACTAAATAGTACGCTCATCTGAAGAGGACGCACTCTCGCTCTTAACGATTCCGTATGTAAAAGGTATTTCAGAAAAAGTTAGAGGAATAGGCAAAACATGTAATAGCAAAACAGATTTTAACTCTGGAGTGGCTTTAAAAAGAGAGAGCAGAGACAAACGTCCTCTAAGTGAAGAACACAAAAAGAGATCTGGTGACCTACGGTCGAAGCAACACAATGTAAAATAGTACACACGAAAAAGAGCAAATTTAAAGTCCTTATAAGATGGCAATACATTCATGAATAATTTCAACGTGATCTACAAGTTTTACATAACTGTTTTAGCCTTTCTTCTTTTAAAATGTATTCAATGCCTATACCTACCAAGCTGTTTGGTATCTTAGAATTTTCTTTATACAAAGTGACAAGCAGCCCATGTTGAAAAAATCAAGGTGACCGGGCTAAGGGTCGGCATAGTAGGCTTTGCGTGAAACCGCCGCTACCGCTCCCGTTTCAGCAGCCGGGGGGGAAATTATTAAATTATATTATAAAAAAAGATTTGCCGAGATGGTTCGTTGCGCGGCACTGGCTGCTCGATTTTATTTATCTAGGCTCATTCAAGTCTCAATTTGTCTCTCGGTTTAGGGGTACGCGTGGTGTTCTTTGATTGCAATTATTTCAGTTTGTGAATCTTAATTCTTGGGGTGTACAAAATGTTCGCGCCTCACACAATTGGAAAATTGAGTTATTATTATGAGACGAGGAGAGGAAATTTATTTTCTGACAAAATATTGTCTACTGGAGGTAATTCAAAGGGTTTGAGTGGCAGCACTGATATTGGCAAATTGAAAAGATATATTGGAGCCTTAGTTTTAGGTATTTCCATTGGATTTTAGTTATAATAATAGTACTTTATTTCCAACAGGTAACATGACCCAATTACAATAAATACTAAATATAAATCGTCCAATATATATATACCAGGGGACGTAGAAACTAATCTGATAAATAAAATAAAAAAGAAGGAAAGAATGAGAAAGAAAAGGATAAGACTTATCGATACGCATAACCCGACGCCAATCGAAGTTGCCGAAGTATGGCCTGGAGATCATCATAATATAAATCGCAGTACTATGATAGTTTGTTGAAGGTAGCAGACATAATGTAAATAGGGTTTTGAAAATGGATATTGGACCTGAATATCTGCGGTAAGAAAGTTGATTTATGTCTCAATTCCAGCCGCGGCACATGAAAGCGTAATTGTTCCAGAAGAAACGGACAATCGACTCCGTAATGAACTAACTTATAGACAAATGAAACAGATTGCAAGTCTCTGCGCAATCTCAGAGGCATTATAGCGAATCTTCTTAGCAGAAGATCATGATCAATACCCCTCTCGGGATAGG